TTATTAATACGATTTTTGAACTGCCTAAGGTTAATAGAACTGAGAAAAGCTTCCTCTTGTAGATTGTTCCACAATCTCGACACCCTCGGGACAAAGGAGCGTTCGTATCGGCCTGTTCTGGATGTACGAAGTTCGACACGGTTAGGATGGGACGCCAAAGTTAGACGGGTCTGTCGGGCAGGGACATCGCGCGACGGCATCATGGAAGAGAGCTCTGAGGAGCAAAGCGCGTTGGTGTAACGGTAGAAAAGAGCCAGATCGCCGACAGCCCGCCGGTGCGAAAGAGTCCCGAGACTGTCTGTTAGAGAAGAGTCATCGATCAGTCGGACCGCCCTCCTCTGGACAGCATCGAGCATGGATAATGTAGTCGGGGCGGCAGCACCCCAAACGTGTGAGCAATACTCGAGGCTAGGCCTTATCTGGGCCTTGTATAGAGTGAGAAGGTCATGCGGAGAAAAGTACTTCTTAGCAATAAACAAATAGCCTAGCTTTTTTCCAGCAGCTGCAGCTATTGACGAGATGTGTTCGTGCCAGATCAGGTCCTCGGTGATCTGGACTCCGACCAGCCGAAATAAATGGCTCTTTGGCAGAACTCGACCATCCATCGAAACCGGGTGAGCGCAGGGACGCTTTTTGTTCGTCAAAGTACAGTTCTGCGTTTTGGAAGCATTGAAATGTACAATATTGTTGCGTCCCCAAGCAGTGATAGCCTCCAGGTCTCTTGTCAGAGAGAAAGTCATCGCTAGTCTTCTTTTTTCCAACTCAGCGGCAGAGATCGGCTTGTCACTCTGAATTCCTGCATGAAGGGTGCTGTCATCAGCAAAGCTGTGGATTGGGTTGATCGTGCAGGAAAGGAGGTCGTTGACATGTAAGAGAAACGGTGTCGGAACCAAGACCGATCCCTGGGGAACACCCGCGTTGACGTTGTGGGATGAAGAGGAGAACCCGTCAATTACGACGTATATCTTGCGGCCAGAGATAAAGTCAGCTACCCATCTGCAAAGCTTTTCTGGGAGGCCATAGGATGGAAGTTTGCTTACGAGGGCAGCGTGCCACAGCTGATCGAACGCTTTCGTGATGTCAAGAGCAACGACATGAGCCTCACCATAAGACTGGATGAGTTTACTCCACAATTGAGTGACGTAAGCTAGGAGGTCCCCTGTAGATCGTTAGTGCCGGAAACCATACTGCCTGTCGCTAATCAAGCCGTGACGTTCGAGGTAGTCCAGAAGCTCGCGATTTATGCACCTCTCCATCACCTTACTTAAAACAGAAAGCAGAGCTATAGGCCTGTAGTTATAAGGGTCGGTCTTAGATCCCTTTTTTGGGATGGGTTGGACATGAGCAAATTTCCAGTTTTCTGGGAAGGTGCCGGATTCATAAGATATCTGGAAGAGACGCGAAAAAACTGGAGCAAGCTCCGCTGCACACCTCTTCAGTACAATGGCAGGAATCAAGTCCGGACCAGAAGCTTTGTTGATGTCGAGAGACAAGAGCACTCGTCTTACGGTCTTATAACTGAATGTTACCTCTCGCATAGTGTAGGGAACCCTTTGAATTGACGGCACTTGGCCGTTGGGGGGGACGTCCATGGTGGAGTTGGCAGCAAAGATCTTGGCTAGCACTTCCGCCTTGGCGTTTGAGTTGAATACAATAGTTCCATCCTAACACGTAACTGGTGGAAGGCTACTGTGTGAGAAGTTCTTTTCAATCTGCTTGGCCAGCATCCAGAAAGACCGACTGCCATTGCGCTGCGACATTACACTATGCCTAACTTTTATATCATGCTGGTTTTTGGCATTGCGAACCGCTGCTTTATATTTGTTTCTGGACTCAACGTCGACTTGTCTGTTCTCTACAGTGGGGTTTTGCAAGAAGGTTCTGTGTGCCTTGATCTTCTGCTGCTGTAGGTATTTATGAAATATTATTTTTTACAATTAAATAAATAGTGCTGCTGAAATGTTGCCGTTTTCAACAAGGTTGCTCTTCTCACTCTGCGCTGAAGTCTCCATAACTGCATAACGCAAGAAATATGAACACGCATGTACGCCCTTTCTATTTATGGAAAATGTATAGTGAATGTGAATATCTGATTGGATAACTGAGAACCAATAGGGCACGGTAGCCTATTAAAGCTCTGCGTAGAGGTAATTGTTGATTACAAAAAAATGCACAACAGAAGGACCGAGATCTCGGTGTGGTACACAAAATTCCTGCATCATCGTTCAATATAGGTGGCCAACTCATAAGAAACTAATTTGTTTCTCCAATCTCTTGACCTTCCCATTATACAATGTCATCTAAGGCACCCAGGATCACCAGAGTTAAAAGCCTCAGACGTATTTGAATGGGTATTACAAAAAAGTAAGCTTGATGCCAAGAAACCAAACAGAATGAAACAGATAAAGAGCAATATTTGTGAAATTTTTCCTGAAATCTACCAAAAATTAATGAACAGATAATCTAGAAGGCTCAAAGGTGTGTGCTACTTCTAGACACGAGCATTAAGTGATCTCATTTTTTCTCATACATAGCTTCCAGCCTTCCATTGAAAATTAAGATCAGGGTACTTCGTTCCATTTTAAAGATATGAGAGTTAGTGGTACAGAGTGGTTTAGAAAGATATGGGAGTTAATAATAATAATAGGATGGTTCAGAAAATCATGGCAGTATTTCTGGGGTAGGGATTATGACTAAAAATAACACGAAAAGTACTTACATGTCTACCAGCTTCAATTGTTAAATCGAAAACAATTATACTTACGAAATGTGCTAAGCATATTGAAATAAAATTTAGAACCTGTTTTATACTATCAACATAGCAAATACGTAAAAAAAAAGTGCGCGTTAGTTCGTAGCATGTATACTAAGTGACATATAAATCCGAGCACCCAGTGTAAATGGTTTTATTTTAATAAAAGTTGGTGAATGTATTTATCTTACTGTAAATAACAAGTGAAAAAATTTTCAGCCTTATCAGTTGGACATTCCGGTTTTTATACTGCCTTTTTTTAATTCACTAACGCTCTAAAAATGAATATTACAGCCGCAGTAAAGAATCAACGTTGGCGGATTTTGGTTCTTGACATCCTGATCGGTTACGATGCCTAGAGTACGGAGATCTGTACGATTTCGTCAACTTAGTGAGTTTGATAGGGGCCGTATAGTGGGACTTCGGGAAGCTATACTTTCTTTTTGGGCAATTGCAGTTAGAGTGCAAAGAAGTGTAGACACTGTGGTTAGGTGTTGTCAGGCATGGCTTCGAGAAGGCCGTACGCAAAGAGCAAGGGGCACTGGACGCCGCCGTAGAACAACAGACCGTGAAGATTGCCGCCTAAGATTATTGGCCTTAAGGGTCCGTTTGTCCACTACCAGGTCCATTGCAAATGAATGGTTTGCAGAACACGGAAGACCTCTTGGCATGCGAAGTGTTTACCGACGAATGAGAAGTTTTGGCTTGTTTTCATACCGGCCACACTGGGTCCTCCCTTTAACTCGAGAGCACCGACGTAATCGCCTTGAGTGGTGCAGACAACGGTCACTCTGGAATCAGGAATGGAACAGTATTGTCTTTAGTGACGAGTCTCGATTTTGTTTAGGCATGCACGATGGTAGTGCCAGGGTTAGAAGGCGACGTGGTGAAAGGAGGAATCCACAGTTTTTTGTTGAAAGACATGTTCATCATACTGTTTGAGTTATGGTTTGGGGTGCTCTAGCTTATGGTTCCAGGTCACCTCTAATCTTCATCAGAGGTAACATGAACGCGCAGCGTTATATCCACGAAGTTCTAGAACCCCATCTTTTACCCTATCTTGACACCCTGGCAGATCCAACTTTCCAACAAGATAATGCCCGACCACATGTTGCAAGAGTCACAATAGACTTCTTTCAACATAATGATGTCACATTGTTACCATGGCCACCAAGATCTCCCGACTTATCCCCAATTGAGCACGTGTGGGATATGATGGGTAGGAGATTGCTCAATTTGCAACGTCCTCCTCAGACTCTAGAAGCACTTCGAGAGGAGTTGGTGGTTGCCTGGAATGAGATACCACAGGAGGACATTGACCACCTGATCAGAAGCATGCCTAGGCGCGTTGGAGTATGCGTAGCACATCAGGGTGCATCCACACATTATTAAAGGTCAAAGGGCTTTAAAGCAGTGCAATCATTTTGAAATTTTTATCATTTACTTATTATGCTTCATTAAGTACTTATACAAAATTCTATTAAAATAAAACCATTTAAACTGGGTGTTCGGATTTATATGTCACTTAGTATGAAATCAAGAATTTTGACGTTTACAGAAAAAAAAAACAAATCTATGCTACTGATTTTTTTTTTGAAGCGTGTATTGCATTTTTGCGTTTAATTCCACATGAATCTTTTCCTCAGACAGAAAAACTGGTATGGTTTTTTGAGGTAAGCTCTGTTTACAAAATTTCAACCCGTTCTACTTTGAAAATATACTGTAAGCTAGGGCAGTTTGACATTGAAAACAGTATGGACTTTAATAGGAGAACAATGTTGTTTTACCATATATGATTATTTGGACAATATCCTTTTTTGTCCTAATTCAGTCTCCTTAGTCGCGCAGAGGTTTACAAGACCCTGCATATTGGTAATGAAACATTTTAATGCCTCTATTTATATTATAGGGGATTTTTTGTCATTTTTGTATGTACTTCCTACTCTAGAATTATTGCGGCGTTTTACTGAATCACCCTATTTATTAACCACCCTCAAAAAATTACCCGGTATAAATAAGAACTAGGTTATTCTTATGATTGAGAACCAATACTAACCTTAACTAAAGAACGTATATATTACGCAAAAACATAGCAAAACTCAATCCAACCACGAAAACAACTCAGGAAAATAATCATAATCGATCCAGTTCATTATTGCAACAATTATAATGCAAAAAGTCGCTTAATTAGAGTAAACATTGATTACCATCCGCGATACGCGCTCGAAGACAATTTTTCCGGCCAGCCAGAGAAGAATCGCGTTATCCTTGAAACAGAAGAGCATCAAACGATGACACCCGGCCTCCTCGAACCACCGCGGTTCTATAAAAACCTGTGGAAGGGAGCGTGTAGATTACAGACGCGGTAGAGGCTTCATAGATAGTAGAATTCGATTAGGGTTGATAGAATGGCTTCCAAATGTTTCGTGGTGGCGGTGGCGGTTTCGTTTACAGTTACACTTATTGAAGCAGCTAGACTACGTAAGTATCTATCTAGTATTTTAATATTAATTGTTTTGTGTTTCCTGTGAATTAGATTTTGAATAAAAGTTTAACCAAAAGACATAAATAAGGCTGTAACACTTTATCCATGGCTCCAATTCAGTTTATCTCTAAGTTCTTTTATTGAAAAGGAGTTAAGCTATATAGCCTGGACTGTAGCCAGCCTATTATAAATGCGTTTAATTTTAGTCTGATTATAAATGTTTTGGCGCAATTCTTACTGGTATTTTAACTAAGAACAACTGCTGACAACGGTGTGTTACTGCTACCATAGGGAGAACAGATGCCCTATGAGTCCTTTATTATTTAGAATAGATGCTTCTGTCACAGTCTAGCCAATTTAATGTTGAAAACAATGTAATTTAGCAGCGCAAAAGGCTGGAAAAGGTGAACGTCTACTCAAGTGTATTGCTCTATATATTTATAAACCAAATTTGAATCATTGGTACATTGGGATATATTATGAAGGATGATTCAAAAAACATGACAATAATTCGAAAGCAGAAATTACCATCAAAAATAGCAAAGAGCTCTTATTTGGCGATGTTTTTCCAAGTATATGTGTTAGTAATAGTAGGCTGATAAAAACATGGAATCAGGGATCGTTGTAAGCTAAGGGGACATCTCTTGTATTTTTCATGATGTAAAATTCTAAATACAACAGTAATGCCAGACTCGCAACATAGCTACTTCTTCCTTCCAATAAAATTGTAATTTTGAGAATAACCAATGTGGTTTATATGTTAATGTATTACGAGAATTGTTTACCATTATGTAAAATGGTTATCTGGTAAATATATCTTTTCCAGAAATCTGTCGAACATAGTATATTGCGTAACTCCGGAAGGTACTAGTTTTCGGACGCGTAGAAGCTTCTTTTTTTTTAACAAATAGTACCGCATCAACCTGGTAGGGTTATTAGCGGCGTGGACGGCACAATAATCTATGTATTGAAGTACATGTCAATGTCTTTGATAAATTTCACAAGTTTATCGGTTTGATGCAGTAACACTTCACTGATGTCATTAGAAAGCTTCTTTTTTTGTTGCCATATATTAGCTAATTGTATATTAGTTTATGATCCGAACAGTTTTTATCGTTCAATTCCAATGCCTAGACTTCGACTTTCAAAAGTTTGGGATGAATCAGTATAGACGCAATTTGAAAGAAGCTGCCAGGCCAGTCGAGACATTAGTAGCATTTTTTGACATATGCGATTTTTTGTAAAATACAGGAGGCTGTGTGAAAATATGTTGATCCCTTTTATAGGCTCCCAATCTATACCTATTAAATGTTGGTTACCCACTAGCCCATCCGAATAAAACAAAAAGTTTTGCAACTTTGGAATTGATGCTGGAAATACCACAGTTAATCAAATGCGTTTTCATCTGACATACTGTAAGGTATTTTCAATTACTAGTAGACGATACGCATCGCAAAAATCCATAATGACTCCAAATTTGATACTTGGTACTTTACGAGTAAATGTTCACAAACTATTGGACATTAATATTTATGATTTAATTGTTTAACTGCAGCAAGTGACTGGGGACGATGTCACAGAACTGATCCTGACTTTGAAGGATGTCTGAGGCAAAACATTGAGGATGCAATTCAAAAGTTAAAAAATGGTAAGTACCTATCAACAAAATGTACTTGCTGAACTCACCCGCAAGGCCGTTCTTGCAATGCAAAAGTTGAGAAGGCTATTTATTCAAAAGCTTAAAATTAGTAAGTACCCATTAACAGAGTGTACATGCTAAGCTCTCGCGCAGGTCTGTTCTTGCAGTGCAAAATGTTATTACCACCTGAGCAAAATATTCTACAATCAACTATTACTATACAGCGTGTTTCAAATTCGACCCTCACCATTGAGATCTTGGAAACTGTGAGAGATAAGAAGTCGCTTGATTGGGGGCAAAGTTGTGTACTTAGGTAAATAGAGAGAAAATCGTTTTAATTTTTTCCAGAATTTATTTTTTGTGGGATTTCAAAATAAATTGCACATATACGTTGCCACTTTTTCTTCTCTACAGGATGGTACTCGTATAATTAGAATTTCAATATGACGTTTCGTCTGTTGCCCTCAGCGACAAGTTATTTTTCCTTACAAACGCCATATTGGATTTTTGTATAGACGAATAGAGTTTTTAATTCTGATATCAAAAATGTATAATAATACTGAAATTGCCAAACCTTAGTTGGAAAAAATCAGAATTTTTCAGGTAGGCGTTGAAATTATGATCTCATAATTCTCGTTTATTTCGTACACCAGATTTATCCCAAAATCACTTTTATTTTTTCACGACCTTATTTGAGATGGGATTTCAAAATAAATTGCATGTTGTCATTGTTACTTATTCTCCTCTACAAGATGGTCTAGTTGGCCATATGGACGTTACATTGGAATTTTCTACATTTGAATGGACTTTTCACTCCTGAATACGGTGGTGTATTTCCTTAATTGGCCATGAATTTATTGTTGTATGAATATTATAAGGAAAAAAAAGGTATGGTGAAACCTAAAATAAGAATTTTATTGATGGTAATACAATAATAATCATAAATAAGCAAAGGTAAATCATATCAGTTATTTTGTAGGCAAACCCTGACTCTTTTTCTGTAAGTACATTGTTCCTACTCGACTTATTTCACTTTGTCTCAGTTCTCCAAACACTGTTGCTATGTTCAATTTGAGGTTTGCTCTGAAATCTAATAAATAATTTTAAGGCCTGTTTTTTTTATTTGAAATAACAAGTTTGGCAATGTCAATGTATGAAGTATCATATATATTTGAAATCATAACTGAAAACTCTAACCATCTGTGCAAAAATCCAATATGATCCAGAAGGAAAAATAAAGTAGATGCTGGAGTACAAGAGACGAAATTTTCTAAGCGGCATGTTCTTGATTAATTAAATACGCAACTTTTCCCCGCATTTGAGCGACTTCGTATCTCTGATAGTTTCCAAGATCCCAATGGTGAGGGTTGAATTTGAAACACATTGTTAGTCAATAAAATACAGAGAAGATACACTGATGACAGTCAGTGCTAGTAATAGTAATGGTGAGAAGACGAAGCCTGGTAACTAGGCTACTTTTGGCCCTTTTTGTTGATGCGACCTCGTAATTTCAACACTGTACTACTCCACGTCGTCTGCTAGTAACTGATTATTAGTTAATCAACCAGCAAATAGTTTAGTTAATCTTTGTAATTATTTAATTCTTTCACTTACCATACCTTTAGATATGTGTCGGTTATTAGATAGAATTTAATGCATTTAAAAGTTATATCGCAGGTTTTAGAATTTAGTCAAAGTGAAATAAAGTACATATAAAGTGACACACTAATAATATGTAATTTTCACCTTTTGCTACAGTAGTTCTGAGAAACGTGGCACTTTGAAGCTCAGTGTCTAAAAAATGGTACTATACCAAATTATAAATTATTTGACTTAACTGTCTTACCGAGATTATAAAATAATATTTCAAGACTGATAAATTTTGTATGCAAACTGTTGCACTTATCCGATTTGATTCAAATATAACGTCAAACGTATTTACTTAAAGAATGATACTTCCCAGTGCTCTGATGAAAATATACCTTTTTGTTCCGGAAGCGGAAGTCGTAAACGTTCGTTTTCTGATTTAACTGCTTGAGCACTTGTGTAATATTTCTGGTTTTCTTTCTTTTTTCTGTTTTTTTTTTTGTCTGTATTTGCAAAAACCTCTCCCTAAAAGGCAAAAGATAAATTTAATGTACTCGTAAATCAGTGAAAATCAAAGACTTTTACCTATTTTTTGCATTTTTATTGAGACACTTTGTACAAGTATCCATGCAAGAAAATCTACTCGTACAATCTATAAAGAAAATATCTCGAATAAACCTCTACTCTCAATCTACCTGGTAATGTTGAAAGATGTCAATGCTGGTCATACACACGTATAACATTTTACCACTTCCGTTATTTTTATGAACAAGGAAACTTTTATAAATTAAGCAATACACACACACACGGCTTGAGGCGGCAGAAACTGATGTAACTTTGAAACTCTTTAAATATTCAAGTATTCCAGAGCATTAACATAAAATACCAATCTGCCATGCAACCATGTTATAGAAGCTAAGTACTTACTGACAACAAAGAAACGTGTAACTAAATACGAGGTCTGTAAATTAAGTTATGAGACTGGAGGCGCAGAGCTTTGAGTGGAGACATGAGAATAGTACAAGTTTGAACTCGCTCGACTCACTTGGTTGTTCGTAGCGATTTTATTTTGAGGAAGTTTTTCCTATTGTGTTCTAAAAATGAGTGGCTCCAATTTCGAGCAAACTGTGTGCTATCACCATTTGCTTGCACATTTCCATCAATAAAATTTTCCTACTCATTTTGATCACATACTGCCCAGACCATAATGGATGCTGGAAATTTCACTTTTCTCTTCAGACAGTCAACATGGAATGCTTCATTTTTTTGCGAATAACTCTATTGCGACTGTCACCAACACAAACTTCGAATCGGGCCTCATCACTCCATTGTATTGCACACCATTGTTGAGGTATCCATTGTCTATGTTCTTTAGCCCATCTAAGCCGATTTTTCTTTTGCAGTGTGGTTAATAATGGCTTTTCTTTGGCTTATAAACAAGTTGTGCGACTTTAATGTTTTTACTTCACTTTTTTTTATAAGAAAACTTACCTTGCAAGTGCTAAATCCCCATTTGTGGGCCTCTCTATGAGCTGTGGACCTCGAAATTCTCCTTCCAACAGCGCCACTCCACAGAGCACTTAATTGTAGATAATTGGCACGCCTGTTTTTCACGATTATTCGTCTTAATGCTCTTCGGTCGGCATTTGTGATATTACTTTTTTTCACATATCGTGGCTTAATATTAACTGAATCAGTTACGTTATATCTTCTAACAATATTTCTTACAGTGTACCGCGATAAGTCTAACAAAGTTGCAATTTCTGTGTTTGATTTCCCAGAATTAAAAAATTTAATTACCAGTAACCGAATTTTCTCACTAATAACCTTTTCTCTACCCATTTTGAAAACCTTAACTACCCATAACTATTTTAAACGTATTCTGACAGCTGTGATTAATAAAAACAATTGTCATGGCTTTTATTTTTCACAGCCACCTATGCGTTATAGACTTATTTTGCATTGAAATGAAAATAGGTTGATATGCTGTAATTGCAACATGTGTTATTTTTATGCTGCAAATTTGATTAGGGAGTGATAAAGTTGGTGTTATTAAAATATTCATTGTTAATATTTAAAACCTATAACACCACGCTACATTTTTATTATTTGTGTTTGATGAGAAAAAAACTAAGATTTCAATAGTTGGGCCAACTGAAGTGGGAAGGGGCTCGTAGTAATGGCATTGTAGCCCTACAAGAAAGTTTCTCTTCTTACTGATAATTGAAGTCGCCACTCCAGTACCGAAATGACTCAAGGAGTATAAACAAACTTAAACAACTTTCGATTTTTATAGTGATGCGAAGAACTAATGCATAAGTATGAGACCAAGTGGTTGTAAACTTGAAGGTTATTGAAATACACGTCCATGTTTTACATCCCCTGCCACAGGCGAGGAAAAATTTCGAAAATGCGATATCATGTTTTTATATGACGCGTACATCACTAAAAACCACATCATTTATTTTCCTCAGTCCTCATAACTTGGAAAGTACCTGTCGCATTTTGATGAAATTCCACACAAGGTTACTACTGTAGATAGCGTAGGTGGTAGACGGTTTCTGACTGTCGATTTCGGATCTCGTGTGTGGGCCCAGAATGTGTGCATGTTCCTTCCACACTTGTTCCCTCAATAGGGTCCGTGTGGTATCCCCTCCTTTCCCCTATATCCCTCTATAGCCCCACGGAACCACATGGGTGTTTAGACATTCGTGGTGGTTGGGATACAAAAAAACTAGTACATGCCAAGGATGAACTTTGTAGACTTGGAAAATCGATCCGGTAGCGGCGGAGTAATGGGCAAAGAAGCGAAAAGAAACAAAAACGAGAAACTGCGTTTTTGAAATGTCAGATACTACTGAACGTTTTTAGAAAAAAATATAATGGTTTGAAAATCGGAGATTGTGTGTTGTAAAAGATAGTGGTTGTAAATGTTACATCTTTGGTGTCAACGGAAGACACAGAAATTTGTGATTCCGGTAGTATTACCTACCTGTTAGACACAATATCACACAATATTTTGCATAATATTTACGTCTGTGAATGCAGCAACACCAACTATACCTAGGAACACCCGATATTCTCTATCTACGGAGGGTCGAATCTATACCATAACTATCAAAAACTGTAAGGACCACGTGAAGATTACTTAACCACCGGTAGTCGAGTTATCAGTGACGGAGTATGAATTTGTAATGTAGGTGAACTTGATTTATTTTATATGTTTAATAAAAAAGGAAATGGTTTGAAAGACGTTAAAGATCAGAAATCTGGAGATTAGCTAATTGAGTCTACCTTTCTTCATTCGTAGACGCTTCTACTTCTCCAACATGGTGTCGATGTTCAGGTCAAGCTGCCACATTTTTGTTTCTTCCTTCACAACATTCTGCCACGCTTCAGGCGTTACTAACTGTATGGAATTCTCTAGCAAAGCTAGCAAATATAACCTTTTTCTTGGCCCAGATGATTTCTATTTTGTTCACTTCACAATGGTAGGACGGTAAACGCAGCACAGTGACACCAAAATGACCATCTCATCAATCACGTAACTGATGTTCGCAGCTTTGTGATGTTTAATTGTTTCGTACAGCTCCGTTTTCACACATGAATCGTCAAACGGAATACCCTTGTCGCGCAACCATTGCTGCATCTCACTTTTTCGAGACCCCATATTTGGTACACGTTCGGCTCGACGATCGTGGTAGGAAGCATTATCCATGACGATCACATAGTTGGGTTCAACTCACTGAAGCACCCTTGAAACCAGCTCTCGAAGCAGCTGGGGTTCATTTCGTCATAGTAATCACCTCCTTTCTTAGAGGCGAAAGTCAAGTTGCATCTAAAAGCTTAAAAGCCACTATCGCTGCCAATATGTGTAACGATCAATCTTTGACCTTTCCCTGACGGTGCACGGAGACCTGTTGACAAACCATCAATGCTTGCTTGTTGGTTACTTAGTACATTTTTGTCTATCCAGGTTTTTTCAAGTGTGTGTGTTTCAGCTCTGTCGTCTACATTCAGCTATTCCGATTACTCATTTTGTAATAAAAATTAAGTTCGTACAGGGTTTTCCTTAATACTTCGAGGTTGTTATTACTCTTGATCTTTGTATAGCCTTGGTATCTTATTCCTAGTAAAGAATGAATGTACCTTAACGCCATGCAAGAATCTAATAAGGCAACCAGAGGACGATTGAAAATGACTACGTTGTCATGACAAGCGTTATTGTAGCTTGTTCATAAGAGATCGCTATATGCTTCCGCGGATTTTTTAGTTCTTTTTCGTAGTAGTAGCATTTATGTATGATCCATCATTTAGATAGCGTACGCAGCTAAAGTAGCACGACCGTGATTTTTAAATATTTTATTTATTCGAACAGATCGCTATACACCTATGGAAGCTTTCTCAAGTCCAAAAATTCATAAGCCGTTTTACTCAAGATTATTATAACAAATAAATGAGATCTTGTTAGCATAATATGAAAATTAATATTGTGATACAGAAACGAGTCAAAACGGTAGGCCCATATTTTCCCAATTTTTGTTTATTAACATAGTTGTATTCTAATATCTCAAAGTTTGTCAAGATGATTGTATGACATATTGTTACCCGAATAAAGTTTTAGATAGTTACAGTATAAATTCAGCAACGTCGACGGTGTCACAGTCATCGGGGTCGTCAAAGACGCACAATTGTATATCGATATAATGATAGTAAGGCGTACGAAAGGTGTTCAGATAAATAAATTATAAGAATAAAAAAATTAACCATCAAACCAACTATATTCATTTAATGACATCACCAGCTCTAAGGTCGACGAAAAATAGATATACCAGAGGGTACAAAATTGACTCAGATAAAAACATGGTGTATATTCATATTTGAAGTCTATTTGTCCAGAATTGTATGAGAAGTAGTTCACTTTTTAATTATGTGAACTGCAACTGAAACGTAATAAAGATGATGACTAGATAAAATAATATAGAAAAGAATTGAATTTCTTTGTTTTTAAATAAATCTAATATACTAAATGAAAACGTACCAAATCTTCATAATACAGTTTGTTAATCCAACTTTCAGGTTCTCCTGAGCTTGGTTTGAGTACCTTTGACCCATTGGATATACCTCAACTGGTCATAGGAGAAGGAAAGGGAACTGTCAATGTTGCTCAGCATTTTAATGACTTGCAGCTTCATGGACTTACTGGATCCAAGGTTATCTCTTCCAGGTATGATTTATTTTTTACCATGCTATTTTCACTGACTATGCAATAGTATATAAGAACACTTGTTTTTCTGGTAGGTTTCATGGAAATGTCTCCTTCGTAATATCATAGTACCTAGCTGCGGCAGTGATTTTAATACAATTTGTGGAGTTTTTATTACTATTCCGACGCAATAATGATGGTGTTAATCATTGGTCGATAGCACAACCCCTTTTTCGGAGCAAGAAGTCTCCATTCTCATCAGCCCTGACTCTGCTTATCAATGAGATTTGTTTTGGTCAGGGGAAAGTTTTTATAGCCACTCTCAGGCAGAAAAGCTCAACAGTACCGCTCTGTTGATCTTTCCTTCACAAAGTGTGAGATTCTCCAGAAATCACATTCTCCCTAAAGCCCCTCAGTCATTTGCTAAACATCCCACTACGGTAATGCTTGCAGCATTTCGTTATGGTGGGTAGCGTTGCCCTAATCTACCGGCAGACCAGATGAAAAAAGGTTTCAAGGACACCAAGAAAAAGATGGAATTATGCACTCAGGGAAGATCAAGGGAAAATGAAGGTGAGAGTGGGAAATAGTGGCACGAGTGCGCAAGATCAAAGACGGCACAGGGCAACATTAAATGCGGCAGAGACTCACGAAGGATTTTGACGCCATTGATGATGATACATTTTTGTGTTTGTATGTTTTTGACACACCTCTATTTATTTTTTTAGCGTCGACTTCAAAAACAAAAAAATTTACGCTAGATCGGTCACACCATATTTGAGGCTACAGGGGCACTACACAATGAAAGGAAGAATTCTACTACTACCCATTGTAGGTGATGGTCAATGCAATATTACCCTGAGTAAGTATTTTACCTTGAAAATTATTATATTAGACGTAAACATCAAACTACCTAAAACAAATGAGGTTATATTCAAATCATATCCTGTAAGTGAAATTATTGTCCTTTGATGTTGGTGGTTCGCGATGTAAACTTCTTACTTCCTACACCTGCTGACAAAAAGTATTGTACTCGCGAAAAATTTCGAAAGTGAGATGTTTTTTGGATGTTACATGACATGTTTGTCACAAAAAAATATGTCAGTCATTTCCATCGGTCTGTCGGTTTATCTGTCCGCTAGTCCTTAGCCCGTCTGTGACTTGGGAAGTACTGCTTAGACTTAGATATGGATGAAGGTTAATTCTGAGGCAAGGCTGAAAAAGAATCTTAATTTTTGAAAATCGGGCTAGTGGTGGCAAAGAAAAGCGTCGAAAACTGTTATGGCGGACTTGCTTATTGCTGCAATCTGAGGAAATGAGAAGCCCAAATAGCGCAGTAATGGTTCTGACAAAACCTACGCCTTCTTGATGCCATTGCACTACATGGAAAATTGTACTAGAAGTATAGACATAATTTACTTGACGCCATTTTTCTTGCAGTTAACACCAAAATCAACCATACCTTGACCGCCGAGGAAAAAATCAAGAAAGGTAAAGTTTTCTGGACTTTCAAGGAATACACCATCACGCTAGAACCGGAAATGATGAGCTACAACTTCGACAACCTTTTCGACGGCGAACAGGCTCTTGGAGACAACATCAACAAGGTCCTCAACGAAAACTGGAGCGAAGTATTTGCAGACGTTAGAGAAGGCTATGAAAAAGGAATTGGTGCAATATTCCACAATTTAGCTAATAGGGTATTTAGTATAGTACCACTTGATGAGATTTATTTACAATAGGTTGTTATTAGGCATGCAATCAGTATTTTGCATTTAGAAGATTTTCAGAGAGCTATTTGAACAAAGAAGGAGCATTATTTCTTAGTATTTGATATAATCGAATCTTCAGGCGAATAATAGATACCAAACCTTTCAACTACTGCAGCGATATTGAATCTTTCATGGGCCGGCAATTCGGCAATACTTCCTTGGTTTGGTTGGCTGGTTATTGAGATGAAGCGAAATTTGATACAGAGTACAAATCGGTCGACTTATCAAACTTTCAAAAAAATTAAAGTATTTTTGTATTTTGTGCTATGAGAATCTTGATTAGTTTGAGACTCGTGGCTGAAATTGTTGGAATCATTATATGGAACACGTTTGATAGTATTGACGCACATTTTGTAATAAATTATAAATGCAAATAAATTTGTCATGGAGTATTTTGGAAAAGAGTCGATAAAATGAAGTCGACTTAAACATCAATCAGACTTGTTCAAAACAAAATTTTATCTTGACAAGTCCTTGTGTGAATTTATTACCGTTTTATGTAATCTTGATTTAATTATAAGCTCTTATTAAAATTGTGATACACTAAACTATGTAGAACTAGTCGTATTTAATACACGATGATTAAATAAACATGAGTATTACTTAATTTCAAATATCCGTTAATTGATGACAATGATACATAAAACAAAAAATATCTATAAATAACCAGGTATGGATTTAAATACGTGATTTGAATATTAACGATCCTGATGCTAGATGAAATCTGTCAAATGGGTTGATTTTGTCTCCAGAATGTGTTATTTCAGAAATTCTCCTAATTTATTTAAAACTATAGCTTTGTATAAATAAATAATGAATATCTATATTTATACCTCTTCTAGCTATTCAAAAATACCAATACATAGCACCACCACTGCGCTCCTGTCTATATCGGATAATATTTATAGCGCGGCTGATCAAGAAAAGCTGTCCTGCTTAGTTCTTCTTGATTTTAGCAAGGCCTTCGATACGGTTGTCCCAAATATTCTCTGTAAAAAGCTTAGATACTTTGGCCTGTCATCATCGGCTTGCACGCTGATTAAGAGCTTTTTAAATGATCGCTCACAGTCTGTCATATATGAAAACAATATATCAACTTCTTTATTCAGAAATTTTGGTGTCCCTCAAGGATCTATTTTGATTCCCCTTTTATTTGCTCTTTATATATGTGATTTTCATGAAACCGCCAGCTACTCAATCGTTCATCATTACGCCGATGATACCCAACTTTATAACTGCTTCGATCCTGATGAATATATGCTTGGCCAACATCAAATCAATCAAGATCTGCAGTCTATTTTTGACATATCTAGTGCTCACAATCTAAAACTAAATCCTGGCAAATCATAGTGCATTTTATTTGGGCCCAAAAAGAATCGTGAAATAAATCAATATCGTATTAATATTATGGTGAATAATGAAGACATATCCTTCGTAAACGAATGCAAAAACCTTGGTATCTGGTTTGACTGCAAGCTACGCTTCACTAAACATGTTAACCAACTATGCAATGCGTCCTATAATGTGATTCGTCAGTTATACCCGAGTCGAAGTGTCCTGTCGACACAGCTCAAGCTTAAACTCTGCGAGTCCCTTATCCTGTCAAAATTATCTTACGGTGACTCTGTTTATGGACCTGCTCTTTTACAACGTGATGCCGAGCCGATTCAGATGATACAAAACTCATGCATCAGATTTTCTTATGGAATCCGTAAATTTGATCATATTAGTAGCGCTTTTGACCAATCGGGATGGTTTAAGATGAACAAATTGAGGAAACTGCATTGCCTATCTCTGGTACATAAGACCCTTATCCTTAAAGCGCCATATTATCTTTATACAAAACTAAGCCTCCTCTGCCAGTACGATCAAAGATCCTCTAGGAATAAACTCATCTTACTTATCCCGCGGCATTCGACAGCATTGTTCACACGCAGTTTCTCGTACTGGGCACCCAAACTATATAACTGCTTATCAAGTGAGTATAAAGAATATAGCCTAAGCAATTTTAAAAAAAGGTTAAAGATGAGTTTAAAGCAGTCGGATGGCTAAAATTTTACTTTATGCATATCCACAGGTAATTGATTGTTTCCTTTCTCTGATAAGTGTTATATTCTAAGTTTTTTTTTCTCTCTCTCTATAGTTTGTGTCAATGTTTTCCAGGTCGGGTTGAAAAACAGCATAAGCTGACACTCCACCTTTTCGTCACTGTTCCTTTTAAACCAATTATTTTGTAATCGTGTGACGAATAAAGGCCATTTATTATTATTATTATTATTATTTTTATTATAAAAAAACTATGTGACCTCAAATAGAGCATTCAAAATTTCTGACGAAAAATTTGTTTTATGAAGCTGTCAACAGAGTGGAAATGTTGCATCCGTCACGTTCAAGAGACAATCGAAATCTGGACAATATGATCGATATTCAAATTGAACCTGTAATAATTAATATGAACCAATCGGACGATGATTCACGTATATAATCATTTATTTTGTTAGATCATTCCAAGACCGTTGATGAAAGTACGAACCTGTACAGTCTCCCCTTTGGGCATGTTGTGATTTGTCTAGGCGTAAATGGGCTAAGAAAGGGGTATAGCATTCTATTTCAAAATCACAACGATGTATTGATTGAATGAAGTTTTTGCTCTATCGTAGAATGAATCTAGCTTGGTTACGTTAAATGTTTTGAAATACACAGAAAAATTCCATTAAAATAGGAATGCACCATTTGCTCTTGTATTATTAGTTATAATTATATGTAATATCAAAATTATCGTTTTGACAAGGCAATAATGACTTGTTTATCTAGTCTAGAATTTTTTTTATACACAATACGCCACTTTTCTCTATGAATCAGCTTCTAGGATACCTTATTATAAAAGTAGGGGCAAGTTGCATTCAAATATTTGCTTACGCACCTAATAAAAAAGGCCAATATTGATGCGCACCATGTCAGTCCTCACTTCTGCATATTCTATGAACAGAGTCTTGATGATCTTGTTCATAGGAACCGAACAAAGTATAATGCATCTGTATTATTAAAATTTTACAATAGTCATTATTATACTTCAGATTGTTGACAAACCTGTATGCGCCTTCTTTTGTAACACCTGAGTACCACCAAGTGTCATTTCCAGTGACTGTGGATCCTATGGATCTCACATTCTTCCTATTGTATTTTAATATGTATTTCGTGGACAGTAAACTAACATTTCATTCATCTAGATCTGTAGGCTGTAAGGCATGCATTGTTAACGTTATTATACGCAAGATTACAGCAGAGCCTGTGTGCGACTTTTGGATGATATACCTCAACAAGACGGTTGCATACCTCTTTCTTGTGTCTGCTTACTGGGCGTAAGTGTAACTCGGTCGCTTAACATTAGGAGTAAGCTAAATTTCTATTCAGAGGGTTTAGTCCAAAGTAATAAGACATGATTATCATTCAATTCACTGAATTTTTGAATTGCCATACTTCTTGAAATGTTGAAATTATCTATAACTGCAAGATTTAAAAATCAGTCTTTATTACTCAAAATTTATAAAAGTCCTTCTGATTTTATTGAAAATATTGGAAATGCATTGACTGAAGTCCTATTTTGGGAATATTTCATCAAGGGGTACAACACTGAACACCCTATTAATAATCTTTTTTTGCTTCTCTGACATAACATGCATCATAGCAGGACCGACTTCTTTGTAGATCATAAGCGATTCTTCTGGACCATTGAAGGTCTGCAAAATGGCTGCGGTGAGCTCTTCGCTCTGAGGCACCAATTTCTCAAGATCATAGTGCACTTTTGCTGGTGTTGCCTCTATATGGTAGCTTAGGATCTTGAGATGTGTCTTTCCGTTTTTCTTGTATCTTCGACACTTCATGGTTTGGTGATGCACCATGTCAGCTGGAATGTATATATTTATGTGTAGTTATAAAGCCAAAATGATATTCTTATGCGTATTCATATCTCATTTACGCCATCTCCAAGCAAACACCTGCGCGTGACGTTCAAATTCGCCCTGTTGGTCATTGTACACAAATTAATGATTGGACAGTTAGTGACAGGTGAAAAGAAGGGATATTTGAGTGCTCGTGTTTATTTTGACGTGGAGTAAATGAGGTTTGAACAGACATTCTAGACAGAAAATTAAGATATAAGTATGTGTAAGATATCCCACTACGAACTACTTTGATCAGTTTTTGAAGATATGAGGGTCAAAAAATTATGAGCAGTTGAGACCTAGTGTAGTGATCTTAGGCTTATACCTCAGTACCTAGGAAAGCTGCGATTTGTAGTAGAATGAGTTCAAAATACTGCATATTTAAAAGTCTATCTACTAATTTTGTGCGCTTTTTGATTTCCAGTTGTTTTTTATTCTTTTAAGATTGCGTTTATGTAAACGGTTACTTAGGCTCTGCTGATACTATCAATGTGAGCAAAAAGTTTATGTTGACAGGATTATCAAATTCATTTATTTCAGTGTTGATGTTTTTAATTTGTCTTAAATTACTGGAGTGATTCAGATTAAAATCTGTGAATCAACGGTAGGAACTAAGGAGCTGGATTTGTATTGGTTAAATCCATCTAAATGTTCTGAGCAACCTAATTTTAATCAATATTTCGAATGCCCACTTATCTCAACGGTGCTTTGGTTATGGATATGATCAACGGAGTTTGAAAAAGAATTGGCTTAATTCCCCATTAGTAGTTTCATAGTTTGTAGCTATGTATATAAATCAACCGAATGTGAATGTTACAAGAACCTATGAGCTGGCAGGTTTAAAATGTTCCTAGTTCGCTTTAGGACTCTATAAAAAAGAACATAACTCGCAGATTTAGGGCGATGCGGGGGTATTCCCACATTTATATTTGATTCTAAGAGTTTAATGATTTGACGAATTATTCTAGCTGCCACCTCCTAAGTTTTTTGTCTTCCAGTAAAAAAAGTGAGGTTTTCGTTTCGTCCCCTTTGAACACACTACTAACAAACCAGTGGCGTGCTCATTTAAAAATAATAATAATAATAATAATAAGTATTCACTTAATGTACAAAGAGAACAAACAACATGAGTAAATAAATATAGAATCAAAACAGGCCCAATAGAAGGCATTGCCTGTACATGGACCAATAATTTAAAGTTAAACTGTAGAATACCAATGGCAAAAAGGGCAAAAACTAGTCACAGTAGATTATATATTCACTTGATGTTTGTATTTATGAGTTTATGAATTTCAGTTCTAGATATGATATTCCGAAATGTAAATCTTTTAAATCTCTAGGTACAGTTTCATAAAAGTTTGGCGCTAAATAGAGATATGACCGCTGCATTATAGATTTATGCGGCTGAGGATCTACTATGCCACGAATTTTGTACCTTGTATAATAATTATCTTTATGTTTTTGGTCGGTGTTGAAAAATGTATGGTAGGGAGTGATACTGTGTAAGAAATAAAGTCATATCATACATTTGTACATCTGCGTATAATTTGTCAGTGATGTGAATGAAAGTAATGCATGTATGCAAGAGTAGCTACGTTTAAGATTGGTTTGCTCCGTGTAAAATTTTCCTATAAAGCTTAAACTCCACACATGATTCAGTTAGTCGGTTTG